TTAGCCGTAAACGTAGTCTGATTTGAAGATAATTTGCAAGAGAGTATTAATTTCAAAATGCGTAAAATAGATCGTTTTTTTGTATATTGTATATTTAGTTGAATATCGAGCGATAAAAAAGATGAAAGAGTTCTTAATAAAATAAAAAAATGTTTTCGTCGTGACATATCGAGTTTATGTTCAAGCGTAAAAGTTTTCGAATAACTTATAAAAGTATTTATTATATATAACATTAATGAAAACATAAAAATATAAAGATAATTTATTAAACATAATTCTTTTTTATTTTTATAACAATTCTGTTAATTTCAATTTTTATAAAATATAAATTCATTTTAAGTTAAGATACTGGAATTGACTATTTAATTTAACAGTTTTTACATCAATAGTTTTTATAACACCTATGTATGTTACCTAAAAAGTGCAAATAATACAAAATAGTGAAATGTTTAAGCTAATTTCTTCTTCAAATAAAATGTTTAAAACTATTATAAAACGTCTAAAATTTTCTTCTCTATATAACATATTTCTTTAATCAAAATTTATATAAAAGAAAAACTAACTGTGTAAAAATTTGAAACCACTCTAAAGGTTGACTAAATCTTCAGTTCTTTTGAGTTCCACTTAGATTTAATAAATAGTTTGTCGAGATTTTTAGTAGATTTGTTTTTTCACGCTTTCAAAAGAATTTCAGTTAGTTTGTTCACAGTATTGAGATGTTTTTTAACCTGCATGTGGCCAAGATATTTGTTCGTTTTCATGGTTTTTAAATATGGAATGGAATGGTGTTTGGAAGTTTCGGTTTAGCCTAAGGCCCTTATGCACTGCGACCAGTTTGATCTATTATGCACCCCTTTGTATTTAGATATTAAGTATTTCGAGAAATCGAACCAGCTCCTTCGGAGAGAGTTTTCGAAGGTCTTTATCCTCTAGTTGGTATGCACCTAAAATTTTGTTTGTTCTGTGGCCTAGTGCATCAGAGTTGGTGATCAGATGTTCCATAGACTCTTCCTCATCACAGCAGAATTTAAAAATATTGATATCGCATATACCTATTTTGTGTAAATGTTTGTTACATGCGGCATGGCCTGTTAGTGCACCAGAGACTTTAGACTCTTCTTGTTTAGGTTGAGAGCGGTGATTGTTCTTTTGGCATCAAAACTTAAGAATTTTTAATTAATTAAGAATTTCATCCGAGTATTCATTGATACTTTTTGGATCCATTTTTTGGTCTCCTGTTTTATGTTCGTTTTATTGAAGCCAAAGAAGGGAGTTGGACCAATGAATGATTCTTCTGCCCCTTTTTGGCATTAAGGTCCGCCTTATCGTTACCTTCGTGTGGGTTTTATATAAGTCATAGTCATTTTATCTGTGTTTCAATACTATATTTAGTATTAATATTATCTAGTTACGATGTTATTTTTATAACTTTGATTTAGATTAAACAACGCTGCAACAAATAGTGAGACAGTTATACAATCTTAGAATTAGTGTGTACATATAATAGACTCGGGCTACCCAGTCCAGATAAGATCACGAGCTAATACAAATCACTGAATAGGTTGGAGGGTCCCAATAATAATTAAATGCATTCATAATTTTACCGAAGAAAAATAAAAATGCGACGATAATGTTAAATTTAGTTTTATTAAGTTTTCATTAAATTATCTTTTACAATTCTATCAATATCAGCATTATTCATATTAGTTGTTGTCATACGAAAAATATTTTATTTTTATTATAATACTTTACGGTATTAGATACGAGTTTTTTGAACTAATTGTATAAAAAAATATGTACTAAAATCTCTGTATATAATCTGTGAGGTATAATAAATTATTTAAAAGATTTTAATTCATTTATGTGGGAAATCATAAAAATAAAATATTGTATTGTTACTAAAATATAACAAAGGAAAATTTGCCTATTTGTGGTAGATTAGAAACATATAGCGGGCCGCACAAAAATTAGCCGTGCTTTCGACAGCCTTGTATTAGATAAAAAATTTAATATTTTGTATTTCAATATCATCAATAATTAGTAATAATAAATATCAATAAAATTAGATAATTTTAAATAAAAAAATTACAAAATGCTGACTGGCTTTGATTTTTTCATAAATTTGACATACAATCGTATTAATATTAAATCATATATCTGCCGCAATAATATATTTCATTGAGGAATATTTCGGTCCATGTTTTCTTCTAATATAATAATAAAAACTCCTACAATATATGACATACAGATAATATATAGAATAGAAGAAAAATTGAAACGCTAATGCATTTAAAAATAATAAACTTCAAGTAAACTATTATAATCTATTTAATTGCGCTATTAATTCTTATATTTTATAGTCTTATTTAATATTTAATAATAACATATATATAAAAGATCCAGTTGATTCATAATATTGAACATATTGAAATGGTGATTTAATATATGAAGACTATTTCTCTTGTTAATTTTTGAAGCCATTTTTTCTAATGCATAAAATATGTAAAGAATATTATTTTCTCATAGTGCTTTGGTAGAATTTAATGTAAACTTAACGTTTTAACTTTTAAATTTTTAAAAAGGATTTGTCCATTTGTCGAAAAAACATAAGTTGAACAGCCAATAATTAGCTTTCTCTGTTACAAAATTTGTAAAAACATTTACTTCAAATTGAAAAATATGATTCATAGATTTAGTAATTCTATACTGATATCTCTTCTTTTATAAGTTGATAATTTAAATAAAGTTTTTAGAGCAAAATCGTATATATTTTGTCAATATTCTCTTATTCTTTACTATTAAGTTCACTTGTTTCACTGAAAAATATATATATGTACCTAGTAGAATATGTGTTTCTTCTGCGTGCATTATAAATTTGAACAACAAAAATTCTTAAATCCAACAACGGTCGGTTACTGTGCATAACTTTGCTTATAAAGAATATTTTTCGGAAAAATTTTGTACGTATATACTGAAAAATATGTAAAATAAATTTATAACTATGTATAAGCTTAAGCCTAGAATACATATGAGTGCACACTAAAAACGTCAAACGTTGTACATATAACTGTTTGAATAGGATTTAAAAATTTAATTTTCATTTTTGAGGTTAGATATCGCAATAATAAATCCTCAGAAATGTTACAATTCAAAGCATTACAATAAAAATTTTACATTGTGTAATTGTCTGTTTTCATATTGTTTATTATGGCTTAAATGTAGCAGAACAATACCGGAAATTAGCAAATGACAAGCAAAAAAGTATCTTTTAATAAATGGATAAAGTCCATATATCAATACTTAAATCAACTTACGTAAATCAAATTCAATTGATAACATTGGTTTCACACAGTACTGCTTATGAATGATTTTATGCATGCACACCACTGCGTATGAGTGTTTTTAGTTCAACATTTAGAGTGACTTTATACCTACATATGTTGTATAAACAGCCAAATGTATTTTGAATTTATATTTAAAAAATTAATTCTTTTGTAATAGACTTATAAATTATATCATTTATAAATGGTTTGTCGTGCATATGGTCATTTTATTTTTTGTATACGATGCAAATATCACATAATTTGGAATTATAGCAAAGCTATTCTAGTGTTTATAATTATGAAAAAAGATAGTGTTATTTTGCCAAAAATCTAGAAATTAATTTGAAATATAAATAGTTGTTAAAAATTTCAATTTATTAAATATGCCACTAATTTTGTAAAACATCGATTTAATACTGAAATTATTAGCAAAACGGGAAACTTAATGTTGAGAGTAGAGTTAGAAAGGTTTATGATTCTCCTTACATCAAATGGTGTCTACCTCCTCAAATTATACATTAACTGTAGTCAGATTTCTCAAAGTCATATGATATATTGATATATCTCTTCACAAGTCCATGGTTTTTTAAGATTCTGAATAAGGTCAAACGAACTGCTATTTTTTGCATCTTCGGACACATGAGGTGCTCCTTAATATGCTGCAACATCTTATTAGTTTTTTTGTAGGCACGCTGTTAAAATTCGTATGCGTCAAGTACGGCCAGTAAGACGTCCAGTAAGAGTAAAAAGCAATTTTACTTCTCTTCAACAGCTTCTCAGCTCTACGAATATTTACGAAATTTTCACGAAAATTTTAATTGAGTGTAGGATATATAATACTGCTGTCGATATAAGAAGCGATAGTTAGACCATAGTTTAAAATATAAGGTCCATGTCTACTTTAAACCTTTTTAAGTGTTAGGAGGGGAGAAAGAGACATTTTCTATTAATTAGTAAATACTAATAGTATTAAACTAACAACTGCAGATAGTTATTGCTACAGCTTTTCGGATGAGTATACGGATGAAAGTTTATGAAACTTTTTATATTAGGAATCGGTAGAATAATTAGTTTTAAAGTAAGATGATACCAATTTCGAATGTTTTTATTCAAATCATTCAAATAAAAAGTGGCTTAAAGAAAAATGCACTATATATTTCTTTTAGCCACTTTATTAAATTAAGAGTTATTTCATTGGAGTTCCTGATATCATAAACAATAAAAAAACAAACGATTATCACTTATAAGAATTGTAAAAGAAAAAGTAATTATTGCATTCATTTGAAAGTACACAATATATGAAAGCATTTATACTGTACTTGCAATAACCGCTGTGGTTTCTTGCCAAAAACCAAAAAAATATCCAAATCCATGCGTTATATTTTTTTATCTTTGGTTAAGTTCTTGTTTTGTAGACAACCAAATATCGACTTCCAAATCAATATATAGTATGATGCAGATGGGGATACAGAAGAGGATTAATAGAAGGAGATTAATGTTGATTTGAGTAGGCGGATGCAATTATCCATTTCACCCATACTATAATCTGAACAATAATAGATATACTTTGAACTATTTCTAAAAACATAATAATATTTTCTATATGAACATTATTGACTATTTCGAAAATGGAATATTTGACGTTTAAAATAAATAATAATTTTTTTAGTTTTATTATAATGAGATTTCGTTTTATTATAAAATATTAGTAACACTGAACATATTATAGCTACTTTTCCAGAAAGGAAAAAGGTGAAGATTTTATTAGTATTTTTTATTTCCATTATATACTTACATAAATTGATTAGCTTTCAATTTAAGATGACAACTTCCATCGTATGCCGTAAACTTTTCTTTTGGTTTGCTACTCTTGTGGCTTCTATTCTTATGTACTTTACTTTTGGTATTATTATGGACACAAGTCGAATGATACAAAATGTTCAAATTGAAATCGATGAAATTTCAGCAACAGTATTTCGTAGATCTAAACTAACGGCAGATAAATCAAATCAGTCTCCAAACATGGAGTTAATGGTCAAAAATAGTTTATCTAAAATTGTTGATGATTTACAGATACTAAAATCTGATTTCGAAAAAAAGTGTGGCTCAACTACTGATGTTGGCTTATGCAATGAAGAAAGGATTAATTATGCAGATCAAAATTTGGGTGCTAGGATTCACAATGTAATAGCAGAGCCCATCGATGGATATAATATATTAAAACGTATGTTTGGAATGGAATACAGCTCAAATCCACCGATTAATATGCTAATACCTAATATGAACCCTGGCAGCTGTTTTGGATTTCGTGGAAATAAATCAGAAGTTATGGTGCAGTTGGGACGTCCAATTTATATTCAAAGTATTGAATTGGAGCACATCGCAACAGAATATTCACCTACTAGAGAAACAACAAGTGCGCCTTATGTTTTTCAAGTTTTGGGTAAGGTACACTTATCGAATAAAGAAGTTTCGCTTGGACTTTTTCAGTATGAAAATTCGCAATCTTATTTACGTCAAGCTTTTGAAGTTAACTCATTGGAAAAATACGCCTACATTCATATAAAATTTCATCAAAACCATGGTCATCCACTATTTACTTGCGTTTATCATATAGGAATTTATGGACGCACTACAATATAACGTTTTTCTATTTCTTAGTAGAGTTTAACTTCAATTTAATTATTTATTTATATTAAATGGGTTTTATTGGTTTTTATAAATAAAATTTTAAAAATCATATTTTTAAGTGAAGAAACTTTAATACTATAAAATATGTTTTTATGTATAAAATATATTTTAGTGATTGCATGGTAATATAGTATAAGAGCTTGTTTTAGATTATAAGACTCGATTCTAATCAACATCGACTTATCTAAGGATATGATATTAAGCTTATTCCTATTTACTTGATATTTAAAATCTATTAAAATATGATTGTATTTTAAAAGTTTCTTTTAGTGTAAGATTTAACAGGGATGTTTGTGATATCAGCTATTTAGCAAAATTAAAATAATTGTTTTTATCATGTTGACATGATCAGCGAAATTTATTTTTATTTTTTAACCCATTTAAATAAACTTTAACAACTCTTTATTAAATAATTTTCTTTAGTTAATAATTTTTTTATAGCTGTTCTTTTAGGTGTAGTAAAAAGTAATCCATTACTTTCTCAAAAGATGGCTTTAGTTATGTGTATCCTTCGTTATATAAGTCCGATCGGGTTGCGCTAGATGGCACTCGAAAGATGAGATTTTCATATTTTACGGTTTCTTTTTTGATAAAGGCTAAAATGCAACCTATGCAGCTGAAATGTGAATACTGTTTATGGTTCTAATACTGTTACAGCAAATTATGCGCATTTTGGTTTCGTTGATTTCGTTTCGGTAATTTCGATGTAAAAAATGCACCACGTACTAGAAGGCCAATTGTTGGAAATGTCGATAAAATCATGGAAATAGTCGAGTCTGTCTACCATGTAAGCACTGTTTGGATTGCCCAAAAGCTAAAGAATGCAAAAAAATCTTTTGGAACCATTTGAATAATGCTGGATACAAAAAGTGTTAAAAAACTTATACTTAACGCAAAAAAAACCTCGTGGACGAAATTTCCATCTGCGAGTCGCTGCTGATGACTGATCACTTATGGCAGTTTCAAATGAAAACAGTCGTGGTCGAAACGCGATTAGCTGGCGGACGGTGGTCATGCCAGCATTAAGAGTTAGAAAGGTTTTGCTTTGAGTTTGGTGAGATTGGCAGGAAATCACTTACTATGAGCTGCTTTCCTACGGCAAAACTCTTAACACGGAAGTGTGCTGGTAACAATTGGACCGGCTGAATGGAGCTATCGCCCAGAAACAATAGAAGAGGCAATAGAAGAGGAATTGTTCTCGATCAGAACAACGCCAGGCCACACACATTGATATCGACATTGATGACTTGCTAAAATTTTAGGGAGCTTAGATGGGAAGTTCTTATGCATCCATCTAATAGTTCAGACTGGCACATCTGTTTCTGTCCATGACGTAGAATTTTTCTGGTGAAAAAATCGCTCTAAAAGAAGCCGTTGAAAATCGATTGTCTCAATTTTTTGTCAATAGAGATGAGGATTTCTATTAGAGAGGCTTAATGAAATTACCTTCGATTGCCTTGTTGCCGATAACTTGACAACAAGTTATTGAATAAAACGGCATATTTGACCGAAATCAAATCATTCTATCTATTTTTTTACTGCACCTATTATACTCGTATTGTACTATATTCTATGTAACTATTTATTGCAAATTGATAAAATTGATAGCTTATATTATAAAATGCTAGAAGAAATATTTCAGTTCAGAAATTTAAAATAATTGATCCGTTTATTTTCGTGCAAAATAGACGTGTTCAAACCTACAAAGAAACTCTCATAAAGTATGAATACCAAAAGAAAATTCTTATTGTAATTAGAAATATAATATTAATGTAATAGATGTTCTTGTACTAAAAAAGGATAATATATATAACTTAGTTAATTCTTTTAAATCCTCAAGACCTAAAGCAAATCCAGTATTCTTTTTATTTGATTTTTATATTGAGGTTAATTCAATTATGATTCATAAATAACGCTACGACGTAGAAAATTTATTCAACACATCTTGTTGCCCTCTGATGATGTTTTCTTATAAATTGCTAAACTAATTATATACATAATGGCGTATCCTTACACTTCCGGTAGCCAGTAGGATACAGCGGTAATAATGGTTGCTAGCTTTTATTTCTAATTAATTATATTTTGTGTAGAATAGTAGGAACATATTCTTTAGACCTTTTATACTCGTACTTGGTTTTACAGATTTTTTTCTTCCTCAAGATATTCTAAGCGGAAAAAAAGAAATTGAAAGTAAAAATTAAATCAAGTCAGGGAAAAGCGAAATTGCTTATAAAAATAACAAAACGGAAGTGGAAGTTAAAGTTGAAGTGCATACACATATACACAAACTGACAGCTTAAGATAGTTATTTAGATGAGCAGTGTAGGGAAATGTTACGAGCGTTGCCTTTAATCTTCAGAAAAATTAATTATATAGCAAAACAGCAAATAATTTGTTGTGCTTTTCTTTTGAGTTTCTTGAAGAACTGAGCGAAAAGTGGTATAATTATTTTTGCTTTATAAGAACCAACAACAAAAAGCCAAACAGCTGACAGCAAATTAAAATTACATTTATACAAATAAGAACGTCGTTGATTCATTCAGTCATAAAATAACTTAACCTTTCTTATTTAGAGGGTTCATGGCCCCAATATGCGCCTTTGCAATCAACACTGTTTGGTAATTTGGTTTCGCGTTGGTGGAAGTGTTGCTGTTGGTGACGATGCATACTTTCAGATTAGAACATTAATTATAGAATTACTTTAATGTGTACTACTTTGAAAGTGTAAAAATGTTAATGGAGTAGATACAAACATACATTTAACCCTACATAAGCGTAGGTTTTGTTGAATGGTGATGACGTACACACCCTCGTAATTCTATTAATCTACATTTTGTGCAGTAGTTTTTAAATCTAATTAAACAGTTAAACTTTAGTAGTTTGAGCTTTCATGAAATTTTAAGATAAATTTACTTCTCATTTTTAAGTTTTGTTCTAATTTTAATTTGAAAAAATGTCATGGAAAAGATTTTGGTGAGCAAAAGAGGTTTTAGGAATTATGTACTTAATTTATGAAGAAGCAGAAATAAAGATTATTATGCTTTAGAAATTTAAAGAAATTACTGCAGCTAAAATTAATCCATATTTTACAAATCTGGTAAAAAATTATTAATTTTATGTTAATATAAACATTTGCATTAACAATTTTCATATATGATTAGAAAAATGAAATCAGAGGTTATCTGAAATATTTGATGATAAAGGATTGAGAAGTGACAATGTATGTTGCAACTAAATAAATCTGTAGAATACTCAAAAATATATTAAAATAAATTAATTTCTGCTACAATGTGGACATTTGTATAAACAATTTTCATAAGTGATTAGAAAAATGAAATCAAAAGTTATCTGAAATATTTGATGATAAAGGATTGAGAAGTGACAATGTATGTTGCAACTTAATAAATCTGTAGAATACTCAAAAATATATTTAAATAAATTAATTTCTGCTACAAATACAATGAATACGCAACACCACGCTGAATCAATGATAATCCAATACCAAAATCATTCTTCCCGCGTAGGTTTGGGTATTATCCACAGCCACTACGAATCCGACCTCATATGGTTAGAACAGCAGAAGCTGCGGACCTTTTTGACCGCCCGTAGTACCAGAATGTCATCTCTGGTCAGGCGTCGCAAGTGGAAACTATACTCGCTACCATTTACCAGATTGGTTCTGGGATTTTAATCGCCTCTTACGACCAGCAATCCTAACCGCAGAATAATGCTATCCCCACATTTCGCAGGGGAAAATAATTACATACAGTGATTAGATATTTCAGACTATCAAAATTTGAACAAGAGATTTACAGTTTGCTCGTAGATGTCAAACTAAGCATTCTCCGTTGCAGTGAAATAGGAGCATAATTTTTACATATGAGTAACTAATATGTATAGAATAGAGTATATATTACGAAGAAAAGTACTAAATAAAATATATAGGCCCAAAAGCATCAAAAATGGAGAATGTTTTTCTTCAATTAATTGGTAAGGATATTCATAAAACTATTAACAGTAATCGCTTGAGTGCTGTACAGATCAGTTTGAAATAAAAACATTTTATGTAAAAATATGTAATATATAATTACAATAAATCCCTTTATTGATTTAAATTTTATTTTTATTGAGTGTATGTATTTAACTCCAGAATTAGGACTAAATGTTAACTGAATTATCAAACATAATTTAATCAAAAACTTTTAATTACCGCTAGATATATTCAATTAATTCAATGTAATTACAAAGTCTTTTGTACGTAAAATGTTTCAACAGTTTTAATACAATTTTCATTCGGTTAAAGATATATTTTATAGTAATTTTCGTACTTAAATAAATTTCTATAAATTAATCTGCATTTTACTGCAGCAATTATAGTTGCAATACAAATAGGTTTGCATGCCATTAATTTCCAAATATATGGAAATAATTAAATATAGATAATAAATGGATTTTAAATAAATTATAATTGCATTATTTATTAACAACAAAAACAACATGTGAATTCAATGTTCACCTCTTAATTAAGGTAGTTATGCAACGGGACTTAAAATAGAAATTATTTTTGATAGAATGATAAGTATTTATTGGCATCATATCGATTCACATATGTTCTATCTATTTACAAAATGAAGTTAATTGAAAATTCAGTTTATTAGTATTTACTGTGTAGTAAATACATACATTTTATTGGAAAAAAGTTTCAATTTATATAATAGTTTTTTTTTAAATATCTAATGAAATAATATTGTGAAATAGTGCTTGTAAAGTTGATTATTTAGGAATGCACATGTTGTAAATATTTATAAAAATATTTTTACAAAAAAATTTATAATTTCCCTCACAAATATATTGGGACAATAAAGGAGGTGCCAGTAATTACTTTCAACACAGACCTTTTGCATATTCAGTCAAATCAAGTCTGAATGTTAAATTAGTCAGGTAACTTTATAAAAACTTTATATATGAACATTTTTTTGGTTTTGTTAAAACAATTGTTTTATA